CGATTACGCACATGCACCTACTATAGAGATAAGACAAGTAATCTGCGCCTTTGAAAAAAAATAAATGTAAATAGCATATAGTAGCTTTTGAATAAAAATATATTGTTCGAGATCCGTCGAACTTTCCTACACGAAACATCGGCTCGAAAACATTATTATATTTAACATTGAGAAATACCGATGTTTATGTTGTTCAAGCTCTGTCGAACTTGTGCGAAATATACGTTCCCCGCGATCCCCGCGCCCTCAAAGCCCATCGATCGCGATCACGCGTTACGTCTCTCGCTCCCGTTTCTTTGTCTCTCCCCCGTTCGCGCGCGTCTTTTCGTTGGCGTTCTCTTTTCCTCGCGCGGATTTAACTTAATAATTATTATTATTTAAAATATCATTATTTTACTTAATAATATAGTGAAAAAAGCGAAAAAATAAATGATATATAGAATTAAGCATAAAAAATATTTATTCATAAAACTTTAAAAAATTTTTTTAAAAATTACCACACCTCTTCTTCTTCAACGTCAAACTCATTTTGCATATCGAATAATCTTCGTAATTGGAAGATATCTTCATCTCCTAAAACGTCCCAGATTTCCTCGTTATATTCGGAATCCACTCTTCTAAACCAGCGTACCAAACGCTGACGATGAATATTGATAAATCCCCGAATTCGGATTTCATCGAAATATATAAAACGCTAAAAAAGAATGTAAAAAAATTTAAAAAAAGTTTAAAAAATTAAAAAAAAATTAAAATCTGTGAAAAAAATATTAAACACACCTGTCTGTGAGGGATCCAAACCCTCACCATATTATAAAGGCGGACCTCGCGCACCGGCACGTTGTCGACCCATATCCACTGTAACGCGTTAACAGAGAATGGTTAATTTTTTAAAAAATATATAATATACAATTATGTATTGTTGCGTGCATGCCGCCCAATATGCTTTTTCAAAAAAATGTTACGACAGTGAGTCCGTGACTCTCTCAGACACTTATTCACATTCGCGCACTCACGAAAATAACGACGATTTAAACGATCGTCGTGACGAACTGCACGCTTCAGCTTGGAGTTCGAAAAGCATACCGGGCGACACGCACGCAACGGTATTAAGTATACATACTCCTACTGCGGGGTATTCGATTACTATGCATTGTTCGATTACGTGATATCTTCGTTCCATTTCATCTTCTCTCGGTTAATTTCTTATTCTTACACAGTGCGAGTCTACTTGCGCTTGCGAACGTTTTCACACTACTGACTTAACTGACTGCAGAGGACTGAACCAGAGCTCAGAAAAGTAATTAAGATAAAATATATCTAGCATTACAATAGCGAGAAAGGATTCGTTGGAGCATCAACACCACATAGGCGAGCGTCGCCGGAGCATGGCTTCATAGTTTACGATATATGATATACCTTAAATTTCAATCGAATGGTTCGAGTTGAACGTCGCATATACGGCTCGAATGGAAATGCGTGTGAAGAAATTAAGTCGTGATTTATATTGAAAAAAATACATTTTTTTAATTCTTTTTCTTTTACATATTTTTTGTTTTTTTTACGTACTACGGTAACGCACTAAAAAATAAAGCTGCGAGCTCACAATCGACGAGCTGATGTTTATCGAAGGCATCGCTATTGCGTATTACATTCAATACTTGCGTAGGATTCGTTACAGTAGACGCGATTTTGGAGAATTGCGTGAACTTGACATCGACCGTTTCGACAATTGTATTCAATCGATGGAACATCGCGTCGATGCACGGATCAAGATCGAGCATACGGTGTAATGTCGATTTGATCGTTAAGCGTACGTTTAAAGACTCGAGACGTACGAGTTTGACACCGTTAATCGTACAAATTCTCAATGTTAGCGGTCCAATGCTTATAAAATCACACGTATCTTTAGAGGATCGAATGAAATTCAGAATGTTCCGTCGTTGTTCGTAGAATCCCTTCCACGTTTCGAGGGACAGTATCAATTCCGTTCCTCGATGATCTCCTACGGCGATCTCCACGTAACTCGGTGGACCCACGTTAACGCCAACTTCAAGGAATTTGTATCCCGTAGCCGTCAACGCGTATCGTCTGCTGAGTATTCGAACCGCGCGACGCTTCAACGAAATGCTGTAAAAAATAAATGAAATTAGTAATAAAAAAATAATACAATTTATAATTTGCAATTTAAAAAAATATAAAGCTTTATAATTTTAAGAAAAAAACGAAAAAACTTATTTGTTACACTTGTTCTCGTACGATGGAGTTTCATCATCATCGTGAATCGGTACGTAATAATTCATACGTCTACTGCCACTGCTGTTACCGCCGTTGCTTCCTTCAACGGAATACATTCTTTCTCTCGGATATGAGAAGTGAACACCGTTCGCACAAGCAGTCGATACGAGACTAGTCGTATAAAATAAATCGAATACACGCGGCAACTTCCAAAACTATGATGAAGGAGGGGGAAATTAATGTTTCTGGAACGCCCAATCAGCGCTTTGAAATTTAGGAGAGAGGATAAGGTAGGATGTTTTTTTTTTATTAAGATGTATCCCCCCTCCCCCTATCTCTTCCGCATCAACCGTGAAACATGTTCAGACATGTTCGCTGAAACCTGATACCCCCCTTCGAAGCTATCGAGTTAGAATTCGTCACGTATACCTACTTATTCTTTAATTTTGTATACTATCGACTAATGGGGGAAAAGAAATAAAACAGTGTAAAATTTACACATACATACATATAAAATTTATTTTTTAAAAAGATGACAATTCTTTCTGGCGTTTCGACCACCAGTTAAATATTTTTAATACATTTTGCAACGCGCAATTCTTAACGTGTTTTCCACATCGCATAGTATTGGTAGCATCTAGAATATTTAAAGATTCGATATCTTCGTAATCCGCATCCAGAGTCTTGATGTTTAGGTTTTTTCTCGCTTTATTTTCAAGCAGATCCACCAGCCATTCTCGTTTCTGACATCCCTTGGCGTACACGAGAGTCGGCATCTTGTCGTCGTCGTCGTCGTCGTCGTTGTCGTCGTCGTCGTCATCGTTGTCGTCATCGTTGTCGTCCTCTTCCTCACCGAGCACGGCCGACGTAATTAAACGTTTCACCTTGCTGTACGGCACGTTTCCGTCTTCCCATCGTAATCCATGGTGATTGCGAATCAACCAGGAAGCGCACGATTTGTCAGATTTTGTGAGGAGATTCCACGGCATGGGGCATGTAAAGATGTAATGCGCCAGAACGGCCCCGTTTCTCAGCACCGCCACCTCCTTCACGACAAATTTCATCCCGACGACGAAACCTTGCTGGTCGACGAACGTTGGTGCGGGCATGAAGAGATATCTCTCTTTCTTCGATGCGTGAATCGAGAGGAATGACGCGCGTTTCGCGACACTCTGATTTTTATATTCTGCTCCCCTTTTTCCCCTCAGTATCGGGACTTAAAGAGAGAAAATTTTCGTCGACGTTGCCGCGAACACTCAGACTATTTTGCGCACTACGTTGGTCAACGGATTGTACTCGATCACGCGATCGTGTATGATGAGACAGTACGCGGAGGTATTCGGCGGTACATTCTCCATGCAATCGAATTCTAGTCTGACATCCACGGTGGCGTTTTTGACGAATTTGTTTTGTCGAGAGCAATCGATGATCACGAACGGGCCGTTACGTAGAAAAGTCGAAACGGTGAGACTCGGCTCGAGATATTCGTATCCGTAATAGCCCTTGCAAAAACGCGCGTACATATCGTAGAGAATCGTCCATCTGTGTTTACCAAAGTTCAAATTCAAATCGTCGTACGGATAGACTTCCGAGTTTAGGTAGAGTTTCACGTTGGTCAATTTGCAGTCGTCGAATCGGCTCGTGTCCGCGGACATGACGTTCTTCCGACCCGTTTGCAAAGCAAAGACGACGTATCGCGGTTTCTCAAGCTGAGTCGCGGTCTTAATGGCCCACGAGTGCTTGGTCGTGTTTTGCAACAGGGGATACTCGTACAGATCCCACGAACGGAAACCCATACTTAGATATCGTCCGTTTCCCAAGGCGCGCAGCATCGACAGCTTGTTGACCTCGCTCAATACCACGTGAGGCATTCGCCACTGTATCTTGAGTAGTTTGACAGTAGGCTCCAACGCGAGACTTCCCACCAGACATTTGTTGTCGGTGCGCGATCGTATCAAGATTAATTCGTGACGAGCGTTGATCACCACGCGTTTGTAATCCTCGCAAAATCCCAGTAACAGGTTGAGCGGTACGCAGAAATTGAAGTATCCGTTGGGGTTATTATGTGGTTCCCAGCCCGCGTTTTGCAGGATCACGCTTCTGTTGGACGATACCGTTACGTAGTTCTTGAGCGTGCTGGTTATTCCTACGTTTCTGCAGTGATCAATCTCCACACCGTCGAGCTCGTATCGAATTTCATCGAACATGAACGCGACGCAATTATTCCCCAATACCACGTTATCGGCTTGGCCGGCTGCTCCGGTCACCGTCAATGTTCCTTCGACGTAGAGAAAACTTTCGCACGGCAACGTATACAGATCCTGCTGTTGTATGGGTATTCGTATCTCGTCGCTATTACTCGAACGTTGTGTTGGCGTACGGGTTGTACGTGTGAGTCTCGATCTTGACGATGCGATCGTCAAAGACCGGCTCGCCTCCGATGTTAAGAATTTCAGTCATCGTTCAGATGTTTCGTACCGCGAATCCCAGAGATTGTAAAAATTTAACGTTTGATGCGTTGAGCTTCTTTCTCGTCTCTGTTTTCGTCTCTGTTTTAACGCTACCGAATGTCGATTTGATGATATCGTCAATCGTCGCAGTCGTAAAGATATTCTTATCTGTCGCGTGCTCCGAGTCGTTCAACACGAGCATGTCACACGTCGCGCGTTATCGCTGTAGCCGTCGTACGTGCAATCTGACGGTGATCTCTTCTCCTCGAAAATCGAGCAATCGTCCGTCTTGATCCGTGACGCGTATCGTTAGATCCGTAACGCTTCGCGCAATGATCGGCAGGTAAATGATCTGCGCCGGCGTTTCCGATATCTTATATCCCGGTGGTACGCTCGGTGAAAATTCGTGTATCGTGTGAACACGTTTGCCGTTGCTGTACGCACCCGCGGTCACGTTACACTTCACGCGGATAATGTTTACGTTGATAATATTAATCGACGCGTCCGATTCGTGCCACTGTCCCGGCTGCAATATACGCTTCGACGAGAATCCCAGCAGCGATCCAACGTTGTTCGGTTTGTTAAAGTTCACTTTGAAAGCGCACTTGATATCGCTCTTCATCGTATTGTAATTTGCGCGGAGCACTATCGGGTATTCCGCGGCCTCGTCTTCGTAGCTGTTCGCGCGAGCGGTCGCCTCTCGCGCGATATTCGCGATCGACGTACGATCATCGTTGGAACGATTTACGCGTCGCGAGCGTTTTCGTGAAATTTCACGTTTCAAAAACTCATGTATGGCTCGTATCTCGTACGATCCCTCGGGAATCGTAATTTCCGTGTCATCCTCGTCGAAATAAAATTTATTGTTCGAAGAATTCACGTTCGGAATCGTGTGATAAGTCTCAAACAAAACACGTTAGACTGAGCTTGTAGTCACCGTCGCTCAGATCCACGGCGGGAAAATAGTGCTCCGCGAGGATGCTGCTCTTCCCAGTCAGCGTGAACGTTATAGACATGTCGGCGGAAACCGTTAACGAATACTGAGTCACCACGGCGCACCGTCAGGCTTTAAATTAGCGTCGATCGTCCGGAGAAATCGCAGGCACAATTGTCCACAGATGTTCTGATCGTATCGCTGATAAGACGTGCAATTGTACTCGATCTTTGTCACGCTCGGCCCGAAATATCGCACCAATTCTTTCGGCGGTCGAAGATTGCCGAAACTGTCAAAATATACGACTCGATCTTCCCTCTTCGCGTACGCTACCCAATGAGTACCGGGACCCGCTGCATCCAAATTCACGATACCGCTCTCGTTTCGACGTACACCGCCGATCGGTAACGAATCACGCATGAAGACACTTCTGAAGAACGGTACGCGCATACGCCTTGCCAGTCGATTCAATTGTACGTTAGTCGTAATACCCGCGGGCATATTTAACGTCTTTTTGACGTT